GCTTGAAGGTCGTCTACACGTTTGGTATAAACAGACAGCAGATATGGTTAAATTATAATTTGTTAAGTTGCTACTTCAAGATGAGAAAATTACATGGTTAAATCCAGAGAAGGTAGAATGAACGAATTTGAAAAGCCAACCAACGGCTAAAATAATTAATACTTCCATATAATTCGTGAATTGAATTATCTCATGAACACATTCTGCGTAATTGAAGGTTTACAGACCAACCAGGCTGCTTGTCTGTAGCGTTTACACACAAATTAATGCACGTCGCCGCTAATAAATATTCCCACAGGCGTCAGTAAATAGTGATGTCTGCCACAGTGGAAATGCGACACTGTTGCGTAGAAGGCGAATGCGCGAGTACTGCGACTGTATGTGGTTGTTTGAGCCTTCGATCTACTCCACCAGACCTGGCACATGAAGTTCTGCGCGAACGAATCGAGCAGAACTACGACGAAAAATGGGGTCCTTGAGAAATTGACCATTTTATGAGACTCTTTGGATTCTGCTCAGTGGTTAGAGCGTTGGCTTCCGGTAAAGGCCTTCTCTACTACGTAAGTTCAAATCCCGCCGACCGCCTCGAGTTTTTCACAATTGGGTCAACTCAAAAAACGTGTTCACTCTCAATGGTAAAACATACGAGCAGCTGAAAAGGACGCCTTTCGGCTCCCCAGCATCCAGGCTGGTTGCTGAACTGACCTTGTACGAGCTGGACGAAGTCATCTTCGTTCGCTACATACGTGTGTTTTGGCTTCTATGCATGAGCAAGACGTTCGTTATATTCTTATTGAACAGACTAGTAGACTTTAAAACCGACTTAACGGTATCTTCCCCAACATTCAGTTAACAAGGGAGGAAGAGAATGTTGAACAGTCACCTCTTATGACTTCCTCGTCACCCAGAGAGCCAATGGAGAACTCAACACCCCGGTGTACAGAAAGACGACTAACACAAATCAGATTTACAACTATCTTAACAACCCCTCAGTAAACGGGGCTATGTAAGAGCATTCATCCAAAGGACAGAAACGCATTGCAGTGAACCCGAGGGACGAGTACGAGAACTAACGCATGTTTGAGACCAACTGACAAGCAATGGGTACCCGAACAGCTTCATTAGCCACTGCCTCTGTACGCGCCTTATAGGAAACAAACAGGCGAGGGTTAGCAACACTCTGACCGCATATAAAGGATTTCTCAGAGGCAAGATAACGTTTTGCTGCAGAATTAGGCGTGGGCTTCACCCACCGCCCGACCGCTACCATACCTTCTCGAATGATGCAAATGAATGAAC